TAATAATAATAAATATATATTATTTGATATATTAACGAAAATTATAATATACGTTAATTTAAATAGATAAATAATTTTATAATTTAAAAATATTGTATATATATATTAAAATTATTAAATTTTTAATGAAAGAGACTAAAATCGCACAATTATGATATTTGAGAGACTAAAATTATTTAATTAAAAATTGAAGAACCAAAATCGCACAATTGTAATTATTTAAAGACTAAAATTACTCAATTAAAATCTTTGGAATCAAAATTGTATAATTACAATATTTGAAGGATAAAAATGTAATTAAGCCAAAATAAAAACAATTGTCTAGTGTATTATTTTTAACGCCTCGTCTCTTCTCTTATCGCTTCTAAGGCTTTGTTTGGATTTGAAGATGGAAAATGAGGAGTGGAAAAGGAGAGATTTGAAGGGAAAGTGAGTGAAAAGTGAGGTTGTTTGGATTAAGGGAAAGTGAGTGGAAAGTGTAGAGAAAGTTTGTGAAAGTTTGTGAATGAAATGATTGATGTGATAGATAAAAATAATTTTTTTAATTGATAATTGTGAAAGATTACTATTTTGCCCTTAGGTTAAAAAAAGTTTATAATTATTATAATTAAAAGATAAATATATAAATTTTAACTAAAAAATTATAAAAAATTAATTTAAAAATAAATTAATTTAAATATTTGGTTTAAATTTAATGATAGATAAAAATTAAAAAGAATATTTTCAAGTTCGATAGTCGAGTTTTAATTATTTTTTTTAAATAATAACAAAGTAGTTTAATATGGTTTAAAAAGATAAATTTTTTGTTTGTTGTGGGAGTAATGTGCAAAATGTATATTCAAACAAAACAAGAGATAGAATAATTTAGGTATCTGGATATTATAGAAGTAACGTAAGTCTAATCTTAAATTTTGAACTTTTAGGTGAACATGAGTTCCACTGATGAATGATTATTGATTTTACTTTGAAATTGTATGAATAGTAGGTGAGTGCGACTGTATGATAACAAGCATAGGGGTATGATTAACTCGACATCACGAAGAAAGAGGAATGAAAAGGTTTTAGTTGTTTGGGTTGTTCAACTTTTTCCCACGTGGTGATCACCATATTAAAAGTTAGCTTTAAGGTACTAGAGATTGGAGATATGGACAGGCAATGTATTGGGAGGTAGTTATGTATATTTTTAATTGATATACTTATATTTTTGTAAAAATATATTAATATAATAAGTTTTATTTATCAAATTATTAATTTATTTATAAATATTCTAATAATATTATTGATTTTAAATTATTAGTAATATTATAAAAATAATAATATATAAATTTTATTTATTTAGTAATAATAAATATATATTATTAGATACATTAATGAAAATTATAATATATGTTAACTT